ATGCGCTCTGCTGAGACAAACTCGTTACCATGAAGGGTTGGTCTCCTCATGGTTAGGTCCCCTGCTCTTGCTGCTTCAGGGGGTCTCCTAGGGGGTCGGTCCTGCTCCTGAGTCTTGAACTCCAGCTGGCCCGTATCCCATTGTATGGTGGGTTTGAGCCTCCTTAGCTCAGTGAACCCCAGGATGAGGTCATAGTCTGCAGTGTCGGCCACTGAAGCTTCGACCACACCCAGATTGTGTGTACCAATAGATACCTGCATGCTCGCAGAACTATTGATGGAGAGTTGGTGTCCGGTGACACCATGGATCGATCTTGTTTTTATGGGTTTTGTGGGTATTTGGTACTTACTAATGAAAGAATCTGATACTATGGACAAACCAGCACCGGTATCAGCTAGTATCCGAGCAGGATGGTCTTGAACCATTCCAGAGAGCTCCAGTACTGCTTTGCCTCCACTGGTAGAGAAACATATTTGACAATCTTGATATATACAGAGTGATGGCGAGGAGGTTTGTAGAGCAATGCATGCCATCAGTGCATCACCCCACTGACGTTTCCCTCATCGTCATCATCATCGTGCTCCTCCTCGTGATCGGGGTCCATGGGTTGGTATGAGCTGAGGTCCATGGCCTCGGGGTCACCTGTCTCAGTGCTGCCTGGGTGGCCATCTCCTGAGTCGGTGGCCTCCTCGAAGGGGTCTGCTGTGGTGACCATAACCTTTGGTCCCATGGGTCGAGAGCTAAGAGGGTTTACCCTCCTGCTGGGGCAGTCTCTGGCCCAATGGCCGATACCCTTGCATACATGACAGGTGTTGATACCTGGTGGAGCAGGGCTTCCTTGCTTCGAGGGTTGGGTGGGATGATGAGGAAGGGGTCGGTTTAGGTTTTGTATAGTTGTTTGTGTAGTTGCTTGTGATGGTGATCGAGCTGGATAAGTTTGAGTGGGTTGTCGGATGGGGATCGAACTTTGATTTGGCCGAGACCCAGTTCTTAGTGGAGGTGATGTGGCATTTGGAAGTGAGTGTCTAGCCGAGGACTGCTGTAGTAGCATCCTCTGTCGATCGATCTCCTCGACCTCTCGATACCACTCCCATCTCTTCCCAGGTGGATTCCTCTCGAACTTCTCCTGTATGCTACGAGTGAGACTACCTCTGAAGAGATCAATCACTAGCTCATTGTCATCTAGGTTGACCTGTCCTTCCAAGTCTCTGAACCGCTCTACATGACGTGTGGCGGCACCAGGAGCATCACTTGTGAGTCTGAGAGCCAACAGCTTGTTGTATGCCTCCATCCTAGCATTGCGTGGATTGAACTGCTCTGACAGTCGCTCTGTGAAGTAGTGCCAATCATTGAACAACCTTCCTTCTCTAGCTCTATCAATGCGGAGCTTGGAGGTCCACCACTCTCTTGCTGTCCCTTCCAGTTGAGCACCCATGTGATTGATCATCCTAGACTGCTCATACACCTGGTTGAACTTAAACCATGCTTCGGCTTCTAGAATGAAGATCTCCATGTCTCGGGGATTGAACTTTGGAAAGGGGGTGGCAATGGGCTTTGACCGGCTAAGCTCTGCCATGATGCTGGTATCCTCCTCGTGGTCCAGGGGGTAAGGATCCGTCCTAGTCCTGCTGTAGGGGTCCAGCTTAGTCTTGACATATCTTGGCCCAGTAGGTGAAGCATACTTCTCGTAGTTGATGTCCTCCTGCTCATCCAGGTTGAATGAGACTGATCGTCTTGGTCGTGGAGCTGGAGTAGGAGTATGTGGGTCTCCTATCATAGACTCATCTCCTCCTCCTGCATGGTCTTCTGAGTGAGAGAGGTCCATTGTCTCCTCCCTGCTCAGTTGAGCTCGTTGTAATCGTTCCTCTCGATGACCCTGTCTGGTAAGCTCTAGCTGTGCTTCCAATAGAGTGAGTAGTCTATCGAGCTTATTGTTGAGGTCTGGGTCCGTCATGGTGATCGTGAGCGTGAGGAGCTGCTTGAACGATCCACTCTAATGTCAGGGGTCTCGCGCCTGAAACCCAGGTCGGTCTGTCGAGATACTCGGTGACTATTAAACTGTGTGACAGCTATTGTCTCGGTATCGGTGACTATCAAGTTGTGCAGTGACAGCAGGTGGCGTTCGTTGTATATACTATCGTAGGTTTCGGCTGACCTCTGTGGACACTCCGTTCAGGGGTAGCTCGGCACGATCAATATCAATGTTATGATGACACCAAGGTCTGGTGTGGGTGTTGATGATGATGAGGTTGATGGTGTTGGTGATGAGATTGGTGATGTCGATGATAATGAGGTTGATGGTGTTGATGATAAGGTTGGTGGCGTCGATGATAATGAGGTTGATGGTGTTGGTGATAAGGTTGGTGGCGTCAACACGAGTGTCCAGTGTGTTGACTTGATGCTTGAAGTGATCCCCGGACCGCAGTGGACTACTGCCTTCGGTTCTATCTATATCCGGACCGCTAACCTGCTATGGGCGCCTTCGGACGTCAGGTAGTGGTGATACAACACACACACTACGATGAGGAGCAACCTTGATAGATTGCTGCTATGCTGACTGAAACTAATGTATACTTATGCTGAAGTGATAACTAGTTATGGTGAGTAGAGTGGATGAGGATCCACTCGACCTATGATGATGAGAAAGCATGGTTATATACCTCTACTCAGCATCGCCAGCGATGCTGCTCCTGCTCTCTCTCTCCAGAGAGTACCTTCTTCATCGAGTACTGCTCAGGGGCCTCTCCTGCTTGGCACCCCTGTGCCTCTTGAGTGGTGTCGACTCCTTCGACACTGCTCCTCCTCCTCATGACCTGTGTCGACTCCTTCGACACTGCTCCTCCTCCTCATGACCTGTGTCGACTCCTTCGACACTGCTCCTCCTCCTCATGACCTGTGTCGACTCCTTCGACACTGCTCCTCCTCCTCATGACCTGTGTCGACTCCCTGTCTCTCGAGCCCCTGAGTGGTAACCATCTGAGCTTGGTCCTCCTCATGGCTGCGCCTGCTCTTTGAGCTTGGTCCTCCTCGTGGCTGTGCCTGGTTCTCCTCGCATATGGGCTCAGTGCTCCTTTGCATGTGAATCCATAGGAGTCCATGGTCTCCATGGAGACTGCACTACGACCATGCTCTCTACTGGTATCGACTAGGTCTTCGATACCTGTGCTCCATCCATATGAACCAGTGACCCTCCTGCTTCTTGAGCATCCAGGCCCATGACAGCCTGTTGCAAATTTGCTAATGAGCACAAGGATATGACTGTTGAGGATTGGAAGAATGTGGTATGGTCTGATGAGATGAAGATCAACTTCTTTGGACCAGATGGTAAGCAGTTCTGTTGGATTAAGAATGCTGGCTTCAACAGCAAGCTTGTCAGGCCAACAGTCAAGTTCAGCAGCAGCTCCATCATGATCTGGGGCTGTATGACATGGGAAGGGGTGGGAGGTATGTGCTTGGTGCTGGGTTCAATGAATTCAGACCAATACATTGGTATCTTGAATGACAAGCTTTTAAAAACAATCTCAGATTTATGGCTTCAGCATGCATACACCAACATCATGTTTCAGCAAGACAATGACCTGAAACACACATCAAAGAAGACAATAATGTGGTTGGAAAGCAATAGCATTAAGGTTATGCAATGGCCAGCACAGTCACCAGACTTAAACCTGATTGAACACCTCTGGCACCATCTCAAAATGTGACTTTCACAGTATAGTACAATTGCAAAGTCCAGGGATGAACTGCTCAAGAGATGTGAAGCTGAATGGACAGCAATCACTCCAGAGACATGTAGGATGCTAATAGAGAGTATGCCAGACTGCATCAAGGTGGTTCTGAAGGCCAAAGGAGGGAATACAAAGTACTAAGGTGTTCTTGAGGAGTGCTCCATAAACTGTCCCACAATAATAATAAAATTGGCTCTTCTTCATAGCACAATTTTCTTAGTCAATGTCAATATCATTTACACAGTCTTGGAGAGAAGAAGCAGGGCTTTCAGATGATATGAGACAGTGTGGCAATACAACTTATAGCTATTGAGCATTAGAGTGATGTATGGTGACATGTAAAATCATGGGACAGTTTATGTGCATGCTGTATGTTTCTGTCTTCTAGCAGCAGTGACATCATACTCAGACTCTCCCTGATCACCAGTTATCAGGACCAAACATCTTTAAACTTCAACATTCCATTCTTGTTTTTTTGTTGTTGTTGTTTAGCCTGGACAAAGAGAGGCAAAATATTACTATGAAGAGGAGGGAGGAAATCAGAGAGAGAAAAGCGGTTTGCCACCGAAAAGCTGCACAATCACAGTAGAGTCCCTTCCGTAAGTTTGGGGACAGGGTCAAGTAGATAATCATTCAACTCATGTGGTAGCATACCTTCCATCCGCTTGGATGACTGATGTCTCATAAGTGTCAGGCTGTATGAAACACACAGTGAGCAAGTCTGAAACAAGAGCTTTCGATTGCAGTGAGCCTCAGAGCCGACTAATACTTGAGCGGACCTCCATGCTTAGTAAGCATCTGCTCTACCCGCTGCTCCATTGACTCGATCACAGGGTTGATGTGTTCGAGCGTGATCTGTGTGTTCGACACTTCCTCTGCAGCTCTCGCAAGCTTATCCCGGGGTTTCGGTTACGGTTCCTTCGAAACAAAAGCACGATCCGACCGTCCGCGCACCTGGACAGCTACCTCGGACCGTTACCTTCAGCGTGAGGTACTCAAAAACCCGTTTCTATCGTGGCGACAGCTGTCAGCGTTCCAACATCGCAGCTCCGGAAAGTGGCATATAGGGCTGGTATTAACAGCCGTATTGCGCTTCGAAAGCCGTCTCTGACATCCAAAAACTGGCAGAAAAGTCTCAACTGGGCCAAGGCTAACAGCTCCACTGATTGGAAGTGTGTGCTTTTCATGGACGAGGCAGCTGTTAAGGTTGGCTACTGTCCCGGGCGCACATGGGTTAGCCGCCGGAAAAGCACATGAGGAGACATCAACAACATGGCTCTGACATTCCGTTCCAGTCGTTTCAGCATCCATGTATGGGCCGGCATTGCATACAACCTTAAAACCTCGTTGTTTGTCCTCCCATTGGCTCCAAGGAAGAAGCGACTGGGGTCGGATAATCAATGGGATCCCGCCGAAGCTCACAGCTGTCAGGTATCACGATTGGAACATCGACGGCCCGCTCTGTGATGCTATGGCTGCTAGCGCATACCCTGACGGCCTGTCAGTTGTCGAGGACGGCAGCAGCTGTCGTCAGGCCGGTATCTGCAAGCAGTGGCAATCTAAATACAACATACAGACGCAGGAGGACCCGCCGGCTTCGCCGGTTCTCAATCCTATTGAGAACATACGGTATGTATTCATCTTGTGAGATTCGTTTGTTCGCTTGTTCGCTCCTTTCGGTCAAGTTCTGCCGTACACGCACGCACACACACACGCCGAGGCACAACTAGGAACACACGGACCGAAACCGTCTCGCTGCGTGGACCGACGACGCCGAGTTCTGAAAACCTTCTTCCCTCTCTTTCTCTCGTTCGATGGACATCTCCGATCAACAGCTTTGTGATTCCTTTGAGCAGTGGCTCGGACGAGCTTAGTACAGGAGACCCTTCGCACGCACAGCAGGAAAAAGCTTGCTGGATGTGGCATGGTAAACTACCGTGGAATGATTGATTGAGCTAGCGAAAGGTCTGGTAGACCGTATTTGAACCTTTAAATGCGTCGAGTTCTGGCCGAGAAAGGGCTTGGCGGCTGCAGCGGAGAAGTGCTCAACCGGTGATATCAGACAGCGAACAGAGAGTGTCAGAGCTGGGGTTATGCAGTGAAATTCCCATGTTGACCAAGATACAAATACAGATGAATGGATTGTAGAAAATGGCACTCTGTTAGAGAGCCTCAACCTCCATCAACTCTCCCAAGCTAGCCGCACCATTCTCCTTCCTCTCGTTCTTGTGCTCCCCAGCCTTCCCAATCCCATTCCAAACATACATCAACGAGTACAGGTTCTCATCGCTGATCCTCTTCACATTCGCCCTTAACTCGTTCAATGCAATCTGCACCGCCCTCAACACGGGTGCATATTCGGTTGCAGCCTTCGCTTTGATCTCTGCACCGCGCACCGAAAAAATGGCTGCAATCCAACGCAAGTGGAACTCGACATGAGGACTTCCACTGCTAGGTTGCAAACGGTCTGCGACCAGACGCAGGACCGTTGGTAAATGAACCAGAGGAAGCTGCTGAGAAACGAGCATGATGTCGGCTGCTGAGACACGTTCGTATACTTCAGCCATGAGTGGCTTTTCGCCAAGACGGCATGCCCCGACTACAGCGAGGAGATGCTCGCCACGTTCGGAAGCTTCGCGGACGGCTCGCGGTGTGAGGTCCATGTCCAGGTCGAGTGGGTCGAAAGCTGCTTGTTCGTCAAGGCTGTAGATGAGAAGACCCGAGGTGGAGGCCGCTGCCCAAGATCGACCAGTGGGCGCGAAACGAACGCACTTGGCACGAGAGATCGCTCGAGTGGTGCGCTTGGTTGCATCACCACGCTGAGCTCCGGGCAACGACTGATCGACCCTTTCTGTAGGGAGCAAGTCCGCTTCGTCTTCGCGGTCATCGATGAGATCGACCGCGCCAGCTGCTGTGACTCTTCGACTGTCAAGCTTGTCCTGTGTCCCGTCCAGTGCCAGATTCTTGGTGAGCTCCCAACGTTTGAGCAACACACGCTCCTTGACGTCATACAGACAGACATAGTTGGCATTACCTCCAGCCAAGATGCATGCACCATCAGCACTGTAAGTGACAGTTGTAAAGCAAGCTCCACTGGCATTATTGCGACGTGCAATCTTGTCGTTGACCTTACGTCCACCAGCAATGTCACGACGACACTCTACGACACCAAGCTGCTTGCCCTCGTGAGGGTCGAAGAAAGCAAGGTAGCCGTCGAGGGTCGATGCGCAGATCTCTCGACCATCAGGGCGGAATGCAACTGCCAAACCATCGGCATTTAGCGTGAACGTCTCGACGCTCTGTGTGGTCCTGAAGACTTCCCATGTACGAACCGTCTTGTCCCAACTGACACTTGCCACAACACCACTGCCGTCTGGACTGAATGAAAGCCCAGAGACAGGTCCTTCATGGCCGGATAGGATGTCGAGCAGCTTGCCCGTCTGAACACTCCACATGTAGATCTCGAAAGTGTCAGCACTGCCCGCGCAGACCACTTCACCAGAGGGGTCCACCGCAAGACTGATGAACTGAACAGGCTCTGGACTGGTCAATGTTCGGAAGTTGCGGTAGCGCACCAAGTCGTATGCTCGCACTGTGCCGTCCAAACTTGCACTGAAGAGCACTTGGCCTTGCTTGGCAAACTCGATGCACGAGACCGAAGCCGAATGTTCCGAAAATGTCGCAGTGCAGAAGCCACTGGCAGTGTTCCACAGCTTGATCTTGCCGTCGTCACCACCAGTCGCAGCGACCGCACCGTCGGAAGCAAAGCCGACAGTGTTCATGTCGTAGTAGTGACCCTGCTGCTTGAGGATGTACGATTCACTGGCCCACTCCCAGACGAGCAGCTGGCCCAATCGATGAGCGCCGAACGCAAGCCATTCGCCACTAGCGTTGATTGCGACGCTGGTGATCTTCTCTTGGCTGATGCTGAGTGAATGGATAGGGTTAAAGTCGGGCATCTCCCACAGGCCAAAAATGCCGTTGGAGAAGCCGACGACCAAAAGCGAGCCTTGCTGGTGGAAGCTGGCACAGACAGTCTTGGCCCCCGTCTGCATGAAGTAGTGTTTGCTGGCGATGCCCCATCGAGTGAGACCGACGGCGTTGTCGGCCTGCTTTGACGGGCTGCCACCCTTGACGCCTTCGGATGCTTGGAACATGTCCTCGTCGTCTTCGCGCATGTAGCCCTCCACGTTCTCGTCATCGCTCTGCTTGCCCTGCCATGCGAAGCAGGCGCCATCGCGAGAAACAGTGTAGATGGTCGTTTCGTCCTTGGAGAGGTAGGCGCCAACCACTGCATCGCGGTGACCAGTGAATGTCTTCGGTCGGAAGCCTTCGACCGGATCGAGCGAGTAGAGACGAGCAGTCATGTCCTTAGAGGTAGTGATGAAGAACCTGTTGCGTCAGCAAACGGTCACAGGAGGGAATGTGAAAGCTGTATCAGTGAATTCTCTCTGTGGAGATGCGTTCTGAGGCAGATCAACAAATCACAATGACAGTGATGACAATGAGCAATGCAACACTTCTAAGCCGCGCCGTGGATCCTCAGACATGTGCGAAGTTCTCCGCTATTGATCAGCGGACTCATTAAATCAGTTTAGTTTTTTTGTAAGCATCTTCGGAAACTACCACCGGCGTTGGGCTGTATGTCTAAAGTGTTGCTTTGCTCTCCCATCTTGTCATTCACTATGAAGTGCGTCTGGTCTATTACTAGCTGAAGCTACTTACCTGCTGTTCTTGGTCCATCGAATGCTGAGCACATTGTCGAAGTGACCTGTGTAGGTGCGGTGCAGGACAAAAGGCGCAAACTCGCGTGCAAGATGCGAAGGTGTCCTCCAAACCTTGATCTGGTTGCCGTATGTGACTGCCAAGAACTTGCCATCGTTCGAAAACTGAGCATCGCGAAGAGGCTGCTTGAAGTTCATCTGGGCCAACAAGGACCTTCTGAGTGTGTTGATGAGCAGCGCTCGACCATCTTCGTCGGCTACAAGGACGATAGCCTGGTTGGCGGGTGAAAGAGCGATCCTTGCGATTGGCTTTCTTGTTTCAAAAGGCAATGTCGTGGAAGTGTTGCGGACGAGGTTGAATATGGAGAGGCGGTTGCCTACCGGCGAGTAGATCGAGTCGCCATCTGCCGAGAAGACGACGTTACCGCCTTGGTAGACAGTGCCGCACAGGTTCGAGAACTTGAACGACGATTTCATGATAGTCGAGTGCTCTCGTTACCTGTCAGCGCCGAGGGAAAAGGCGATGGAGGGATGGTAGCGAGCTGCTGCACCTGTGAGAACTGTATCTACGGAGAGGAGGGTTGAAGGTGTTGTAAGGAAGGCTGCTCTTCATTCTTCTGACGCTTAATCGAAGTTTTTGTGCTGAGCTGCGAGGTAGAAAACAGAGCCGAAAAGCAGCCAGAAGCTGAACGAGGAAAAAGAAAAGGTGCAAACGAAATCCGACTTCCGAAGTTTAAATTACCGAGATCTTCCCGATTTCGTGAACGGCGTTGTCGAATGCGGGCCGAAGGTGAAAGCGTGCACGGCTCTTCAGCTTACTGTGTTGCAGGCTGTGTGTGAGGTGGAGGATTGCGCCTGTCTACATCTGGAAGCACAGTCACCCTTCTTCAACAACGACATCGACCTCTCGACACAACAAGCCTTTTACTCGCAGGGGCCAGGCGTTCTCGAGACTCCCAAGCGCATCGAAAGAGCTGCAGACCAGACTTCGAAGACCTTGATAGGGCCGAACCAGCCTACAGCGTCAGACGCTTCACTGCGCATACATGCATCGGACCAAGGAATACGTCTGTTCGTAGAGGAAAGGTGCCGGTGCCACGAAGGACCACATACGTCTGGAGGCCCAAACACTGGTAGATAGACGGCGCTTAGTTGCCAGTAGTCAACGCGAGTCGCCCTCGGAAGAGAACGCAATCATGACGAGTCAGCGCACAGCAAGCCAGCAGGATGCCATAGCAAGCCTGCGCACCATCCTTCAAAGCTCGTCCGGGTCAGCCCCCGACGATGACATGCTAGCAACTCTGCTCGAGGTCGAAGGTTGGGATGCCACTCGTGCAGCACGATTAGTGGAGGAAGATAGCGCGGCGGAGCGCCGGAGGAGTGGAGCGGACGACGAGACCATAGCAAGATCTTTCGCTCAAAATTCTCGCATGCGTGGCTCGATGGATCTGGATCATCCCTCGATGTTTGCAGGATCAGGCTATGGTCGTTCGATAAATGGCGGCACTGGTGCACCCAGCGGCTTGCCTGGCGGAGCAGGGTTGCGTCGCTATCCGAGAGCAAACGACAGCGGGCCGATGAGTGTAGCACAGATGATCTGGACTGCTTTGACGTTCCCTCTTTCGCTGGCATCTGGCTTGTTGCTCTTCTTGGCTCGGGTCTTGCGGATCAGAGCGTTGTTCCCCTCTCTCTTCGGTGTCAGCGGTAGCTCAAGGGGACTTGGACGCGCTGATCCTCGTACATCAGCAGAACACTTCGTGCGGGAACTCGAGAAACAGACTGGCGGCACCACATCACGTTTACATGTAAATGAAACAGAAAGTTCGGATCAGACTCGTGCACCTACACCAAAGAGACTCCCGCCGTTCTTCATCGGAAGCTACGCCGATGCGCTTCGTGCGGCCAAGGAACAGATCAAGATCCTCGCCATCGTCCTTATCAGTCATGAGCATGGCGACGTCGACCGCTTCAAGCAACATACACTCACAGATGGCGACCTGGTCGACCTTCTCTCACGAGACGACTTCGTTGTCTGGGGCGGCGACGTTCGAGAGCGAGAAGCATACCAAGTGGCAACCACACTGCAAGCCAGCACTTACCCCTTCGTCGCTTTCATCGCACTTCAACCTCCACGACCTGCAAGCCGATCCTCTTCTTCCTCATCCTCACCGCGAGCAGCTGTACTGTCAAGACTCGAGGGGTCACCTGCAACAGCAACATCTGCTGGTGTGATCGCATCTCACATCTCAGACGTGCTTCTGCCTAGGACGCGAAACTACCTGGAGAGACTGCGAGCAGAGAAACGCCGACGAGAGTTGGAACGTCAGTTACGCGCCGAGCAAGATCGAGCTTATCAAGAAGCGAGTAAACGTGATGCTGAGCGGATCACTCGTAAGCGTGAAGAGGAAAGGCTCAAGGCTCTGGAAGTACAGCGAGCACGCGAGGAACAGGAACAGAAAGAGGCGCTCCAGCGGAAGCAACAGGCATGGCAGAAGTGGGCACTGCACAACCTTGTACCTGTAGAGCCTGCTTCGGCGTCAGATTCGGTCAGGTTCAGCTTCCGACTGCCAAGTGGAAAGACATTGATCCGTCGCTTTGCAAGCACAGACACGGTGGAAGCGGTGTTTGCGTTTGTTGAGTCCGCGGCGGTTGCAGAGAATGGAAGCTGTGGTGGAACTATAGGGCAGAAGCCAGAAGGATATGAACACACATACAAGTTCAGTTTGGTGATCGGATATCCTAGGAAGCGAATCGAGTTTGATCAGGAAGGGTCAGCGAGACTGCAGGATGTGGACGGACTGTCGCAAGGAACAAGTCTGATCGTTGAAGGGCTAGTGTTGGGTGATCTACCTGTTACTACTGATGATGAGGATGAAGGAGACGAGGAGTAGACGTCAATCCGATCATAGCTCATTCTTGGACGCTCTGTAGACCAAAACGTTCGCCACATCTTGATCAATCAATACGCCTGCGAGCTTGGAAAGATTTCGTTTGACTATTGATCCTTCAAACTTTGTCTCGCATCACCGATGACCTACGTAGCATCAAGCTCACGATGATGAACACCGAACGCACAATGAGAATACAGGGGTATGAGCTTGTCTGAGATGCATGCAATCACGAGCCTCGAAAGAAGTCACCGACCGTGCTTCCAGGTTTTCGGTCGCCTTTGATCAGGTGAACCTTCTGGGCTATCACGTGACTGGCGCATAACGGGGTCAGACCGTTGAAAGGAGTCAGCAATACAAGTCTCTCTCGAGATTTGAAGTCGTGCACGTGACGTTGACTACAAGCTCGTGCATAATTTCTATTCATAACCCAGTGATGGGCCTGTCCCCGTTATGGGCCAGTCACGTTACTTGCGCCGCCTTCGACGATCGCATATTAGTGTGTCAACATCGTGAGCAATCATGGCTGCGGCCACTACAGTTTGCAATACCACCGGTTCCGCGAACTTGCAAAGGTCTAACAGCTTCCGTGGATGACCTGCTCCAGACGTCGAGTGCGTCAAGCAGAGACGAGGGCACAAGGGCACATAGCTCGGTAGCGGGTTCGGTGATTGGGTCGCCGTGAAGAAGTCCCCAGGATGATGCAGCTTAAGCAGAATTCGATCGTGACACGCATGTTGAAAGCGCTTCGGCTCTTTTCGTTTACGGGTAGAATGCCTTCCGAAAGTATTCCCCTTTCGCAGCTATCATTGGGTAAGAAGAATTTTTCAACTCTTCGTTGCCAAGACTACTTCTTTCGCCCGCCCAACACAGGATCGAGAAGAAGCTTCGAGACAGAAGAAAGGCGCGCGCTAACTTGTTGCATTGGGTCGAGTTCAAGGCGACCGGTCAACTAAAAGCATGCACATGTGGTCAACTTCTGGAAAGGAGAAGTCGAGCGAGGAGACTAGAGACAGGATGGGTTGAAGGTGCTTACTTGATCAGAAAGCGTTTGCATTTGTCGTTGAGCTCCGCTCCAGATGGCAACCACATGTGAACACTTGAGTGGTTTGGTTGAGGCTGATCTATCGCTTGTCTCCTGACGCAAAAACCTCGGCCTGGAACCTTGGTTGGTGCATGTGATCAACGACGTACATGGAGACGCCACGCACATCATACGAATCGATATGATGGCAGTGTCCATCCTTTTCGGCTTGCTTTGGATCACCTTCATACTTTGGGAGTTGCCGCAGTGATCATTCTCACATGTCAAAAAAATGGGGGCACGGCCCGGTTTCTGCCGCTTAGACGAATTGTAAGCGACTCGGTGGCGGGTAGTGTGGCGCAAACAGGACCCTTGGGTCCAATGGAAAATCTTCATCACTCTCATCTGGTACAATTTTTTTCATTTTCACCGATAGAAGAAACTGAAAATAAAATAAAAATAAAAATTCGAAAAGAATAGAAAAAAGAAAAAAAAGAAAAAAAAAAAAAAAAAAAAAAAAAAAAAGAAAAAAGAGGGGAAAAAAATAATAGATGGAAAGATGCTGCCGTGGTGATACCGTGACAGCTTGGACGACCTTCTGATCAACAACGGAACGCACAGTTGCGACGGTAGGACCATGTTGTAAGGAGGACGATGACGTCGTGGACATTGGATACGTCTGAAGCCGGTCGGGAAGGATTGCAGACTTGAGTAGGAGATGACTGCTACCGAATTATCAAATTGATCAGGCAGCAGGCAAGATCCTCATAGTCCCACAACGTTTAAGAGTTCCTATTGTTGCAAGGCTTGGGCTGAAGGAGGAAATCCGATCAGAGAGTATGGCTGGTGACTGCCAATGGGACCCATAGTATCGCAGAAAATGTTGGCACAGCTCAAAGGCTGATTGATGGAAAGAAGAAGCTCAGTGTGGGGGACGGTCCTTGGACCTCGTCACGACAACAGGCTCCATCGGGCCGAAGATGGGCTGTACTCACCGGCGACCTGCGATTGGCAAAGGAAGCGCTGAAGCTATTATGTAGCATGGATAGGCACTGAACCGACTCAAACAACAGGGCACAGCTTAGGGCAGTCCTGTTGGCTTGCTCGACCTTGATAACTTTTGCAGGGCATGAAGCTTTGTCCGGCAGAGGCGGTGTTGCACGGACTTGTCGCCTTGCTTCTTGCACGCTGCACCAGATGTTGACCGAATTTGCGTCTGATCGTGGCCAGAAGCGGCTCCAAGCCATCTAGCGCGGTGCTTTTCGCTGAGAAGTGGATGCATGACAAGTTGAGCATGTCGCTTCACTCATCGCAGGGATGGTCTTGGGTAACATGCTGAAAGTACCAACTTGACGTCACAGCTGTCGTTCTTGTGGTACAGGACAGCAGCACGCTCATTCAGAGGCGTCTGCAAGGCATCGTGTTGTGCATTTGTAGGTTGTTATCGTGCGGACAGAAAACATGGTTCATGGTAGAATGGCACCTGACGCCGCGGGTCGATGCGAGCCAAGCTTAGTGCTAGGCCAAACAACGGAGGCTCTGTGCACAGGCACAAGCGGGTGCACTGTTTCGGCACCTCTCTCTGGCAAAATTGTACTTGCATCTTCTTGCCTGCCTCGTTGCCCTGGCCAAGCGTTTGAGAAAGAGGCGCGTGAACAGGCTCGCTCTGAATAATAAATTCTGTACCGCACCGCATCGGCGTCGGAGACCCTTGAAAGATGTTCTTGTTTTGGCTCAAACAATAGAGAGGACCCTGAGACCCTGACCGGCGTCAATTGAGGCTCCCTCTCTCTTCTTATTCTGGTTGCCACCAATTGACACAGTTGTGTATTAAAGACAAGCTCTCGGCACGACCCAGGAGCAAGCAAAGTATTTTATCTTTGAATCCGTATCACTGTGTCTTCGGATAATGAGAGCGATAGACTTTGGTTCGTCGAGTCGACCATTGTTGATGCTTACAATCTCATGTACGACATCAGGACGAAGTCGAGCAACATGTGAAGGTAGTGTATCAAATGCATTGTAAGAATCGTTGGCTCCATTGTCTGCGTTGATGCAAGCACTTTTTTCGGCGTTTGACCTTGCTTGAGGAACCGCAGAGTCACGTTTGGAAGAGCCCATTTCGAGGACTAGAGGACTGTGTATGAGGGTGAGTCCAAGTTAGTGCAAGTACGTGGTCTGCTGTGTTCTGCTCTGCTCAATCGTGCAGCAGCTGTCCACGACGCGAGGAGAGGACAAAGCCAAGAAGGCACTTGAGCAGAGCTTACGAGGCGATAGAAAATCGACAAGAAAAAAGCATGGAAATTGCGAAAAGGTTGGTTTGCTTTCCTTTTCTTCTTCCCTTATCCAAACGGAATCCTGAGGTGAAGTGCGCAAAGCGAGAGAGTCGGCGTAAAAACGACACCAGAACACCAGAACACCAGCAAGAGCAAGAGCACGAGCTCAAGCTCGCCGCTTTTGCCCTCTACAGTAGTTGCCTCTCGCTTGTGCTTGTGCTTGTGCTTGTGCTTGTACTTGTGCTGAGACAGTGCGAGGCTCCGGCAAGTGAAAGCAAAGCCAAACGTTTAGTGAAGTTTAACCTAGCTCATACACCGAGCTCTCGTTCGTCCGCCTGAGGGTGGCATTGGGCAGCAACCTTCAGTTCCTAAAACCCCGCTTTCCTTTTTCTTGTGTGTTTTTTTTTTTTTTTTTTTTTTTTTTTCTTTTCTTTTCTTTTTTGTGTTTATTTTTATCTTTTAGGTCCGCTAGCCCGTACACTGTATCTGGCCCACTCTGAAACCCGTGTGTGCTTCCTTTGTATTCAACTGTTTCGCCTCGCTTTGAGACCGTCGCCTTGCCCTTCTCTTTGCCGTTATCGTCTTTGCCTCCATCCAGATCGACCAAGCAGCAGCTTCCCATCTGCAGTTGTCGTCATAATCCTTCTCGGCCTAACCTTTGAAACCATCGACGACCACGACCACGACCATCACCTCTCAACTACCATTATCTCCGTCGCCCTTCCATCCTACACAGACTCTTCTCCGCGACCACTCTCCGTCAACAGAAGGGCAGCCACGCCCATCGATCCATTCGTTGGCAATCATCGATCCAGGATCTCTCGCTCTCAAACACAAACTCTCTCCCTAGGTCGACCATCGCCTCTCCGCAGACCGAACCGGTAATCCACCGCCCATCCTTGTTCGGCATCCAGCTTCTCGACTGTGCCGAATCTATCTAGACGGTGCTGTTACATGGATCCTATATCCAAATCCTCTTCCTACGACCTCTGACAGCGACTGCATCGGAAGTTTCCAAGCCTCGCCTTTCATCATACGTCCAGCACTTTCTCTCAGACTGCACTCTCTTCATCTCGACAGCCCTTCCATCGCCCGCCTGTAGCCCAATTCAGCATTGCAGACGTCATCAAGGGATATTCTGACATCGACGTAAGAAAGCAAGCTACATCAAATCATCTCCCGACCACTACCTCAGCAATCGACATACATGCTGTCTCCAATCTGCACTTGATCTTCGTCACCACCAACAACTCCAACCCGTGACTTGACAACACTCGACTGAAATTCAGGTGTTGATTCCGTCTCACCCCTTCCTACGGTCAGATACATTCCTCTTGGAGAATCTCACCCCGGAGCAACCGCGCCGAGCGCTCATTGCTCATCCGCAGCCATGCAGAGTCAAAATTGGAACCGCCCTACGGCCGAACAGCAGCAAGAGCAGCAGCAGAACTTCAACCCACCTTTCTTCAACACCGACGGGCAATTGAGCCAAGAGGCGATGCAAAGCATGTTCCAGGGCACCGCCTCAAATGAGATGGCTAACCAAGCCTTTGCCAGCTTTGATCCGAACAATTCCAACCAAAACTTTTCCCACCCGTCCCAGATGATGATGTCACAACACTCTGGCATGGGAGATCCATCACAGCGCTTCATTCCCAACATGAGTCAAAATGGCATCGACCCCGCCGCATCCGCAGCCGCCTACGACCATCTCGGCTTCAACGGGTCCGCCTCTGCACCAGGGTCGAGGCGTCAATCGCAAAAGATCAACGATCCTTCGCAACTGGGTCAGCAGAACGACGGCAATTGGATGCCAGACTACATGCAGCAAAATGGCGTTGATCCCAATGTAGGCATGTCGATGCGCGATCCCAATAACGCTGACTACCGTGCCAACATGAATGGATACGAGCCAGATGGGCCCGGTTCCAATAGCAGTGAGGACTCGGGTCAGGGCAAGCGCAGACGCATGACTTTTGCCGGTGCACCCATCAACCCAGCCCAGATGCAATCTGGACAAAAGCCCATCTTGATGCATCACGACAGCAGCAGCGGCATCAGCGATCTTAACAGCATGGGGTCCACTCTCATGCAAGGTTTTGGACCAGATGGACAGCCGTTGACTCGACCGCCCTTCCGCCATCGCAGATCTTGCAGCGGCTCCGAGTTGGCGGCTCCGCCCGGATTAGGACAGCGTTCCATCAGCAGCATCAAGCTCGGCACCGGTGGTGTACAGGGTGCCTACGGAGGCGGTCTTGGCTATCCGCGACCACCATCCATCTACCCAGCAGGTCAACAACACAGCCACTCGTTCGCCGGTTCCCAGGCTCTATCGGCGCTCGGAGGACACGCTGCAAGCCATCCTCCTGGTCTCGGCAGTCAGATCCTCCGCGGCGTCGATGTCAGTGCGAGCGGTTCTTCGGCGGCGACTGATTTCACCAAGCGCAAGGGCTGGACAGGACGTGTCGTGGAAGAGTTGCTCGATTTCGTCCATGTGTTGGATCCTGAAGGCACCGTCCTCTTTGCCAGCCCAAGTGTGCAAGGATTGACAGGGTGGACGAGCGAAGAGCTGAAAGGACGCAAGCTTACAGAGTTCATCCACCCTCAGGATGTCGCCTCGTTCGAACGCGAGATTGACCGGATGCGTAGCAGCAAGGGCGAGCTCTTGACCTACTACCGCTTCAAGACCAAGCCCAAATCGATGCGTTCCTCCAACAAGAAGGGCGAAAAGTCTTCCTCGAACGACAACGACTCGTCCGCAGGGGACACTGCCGAGGAGAAGGAACGAAGCAACGAGCGTCGCAGTGAGATGGAGCATGGCGATGCTTTCACGCGCGATGGCGACTACATTGTGTTTGAGGCGACAGGCCACCCTTACTTCCCGCCAGAGCCAGCACCTGCGACAGGCACCAATGGGGCGGGCGATGCAGCATCTAAGGAAAAAAACGGCGAGCAAGCAGACGACGACGACAATGCTGCTTCCAACGGAGCGGACGGCGAGCCGAAAAAGCGCAAGGTCAAGGCTGAGAACATGGCGCCTAACCTTTCAACCTCGTCGAAAGCTGCGCATCCGCTCAGCCAGGAACAACCGCTGCAAACAGCGACAAGTGACGCCACCACTTCTTCACGCTCGCAGCTGCAGTGCTTCTTCTGCTCGGCAAGACCGTACCCGAGCAAAAACACGAGCATGCTTGACTCTTTCCTCGAACTCAAGCTTGAGAATGAGAAATTGCGTCTGCTCATCGCCGATATGGACTTGACTGGCCCAGATCACGACCAAGGTCGCTCCTTCGCCGCTGCCTACCATCCGGATTTGCTCAAGCAAGAGCTCGAGAACGACGCTATGGCTGGAGGCTGGGTGAATCCGGTCAACCCGATGTTTGGCGCTGCTGCTATCCGGCCCGACGGGCGCATTCTGCAAGGACAGCAGGCTGGTCAACAGCCAGGTCATGCTTCGCGGCAAAACTCGATCGGGTCGCATCCGACAAGTCCGCTCATGCGCACCAACAACGCCCGGGACGACGTGTTGGCCGGTCTCGGCGTCTCTACAGGCGACGAGTCGGACGAGGAAGCCTCAGCAAGCCAGAACAACACCAGCGGGGCAGGTGCGGATGGAGCAGCGAATCCGGCGGATGACGCACGACGCAAGAAGAAGCCCAAGCAGGACGATGGCGATCACGTCTGCACGGATTGTGGACGTGTCGACTCGCCCGAATGGCGTAAAGGTCCCTTGGGACCAAAGACGCTCTGCAACGCTTGTGGTCTGCGATGGGCCAAGAAGATCAAACGCAAGGGCGGTGATCCCAACTTGGCAGCTGGTTCGATGATGGTTCAAGGTGGTGGCATGACACCTGCAAGCGGTGTCGGTATGAACGTGGGTATGGGTGCGCACATGATGCCACCCGGTCACTCTATGCCTCACGGTCACCCTCATCCTTTCAACAGAGCGGACAGCGGTCAGCTTCAGGGTATCCAGATGGTGCCGCCTGGGATGAACATGCAGGGCATGATGGCAGGCTCGCCGAGCGGCTTTGCGAATCGAGGCTCGCTTGACGGCAATCCGCACCAGCATCAAGGCAGCGGCATGAACAGCATGGGCGGAGGCAACATGTGAACATGTCACAAGTAGTTCCTCCAGACGTCCTGCCCATCAACCAGTCTCTCCCTCTCCCCTCTCTTTTCTATTTCTCTCTCTCTCTCTCTCTCTCTCTCTCTCTCTTTCTCTCTCTTTTCTCTCTCTCTCTCTCTCTCTTTTCTCTCTCTCTTCTCTCTCTCTCTCTCTCTCTCTCTCTCTGTTTCTCTGTTTCTCTCTCTCTGGTGGTCTCACTCTTCATCACGGCTTATGTATTCTTGTTCTAGGGTCCTTTGATATAATACACGCATCTTGTACTCTCGACGGAATGCAATATTACCTCTTCCATGTATTCGCTCTCCCTTGTACTTTATCCCACCCGATCTTTCGAATCACTGGTGATCAATCTGCCCCTTGTGTGATGCTTTGCGTACGTGTCGTCTCGAAGGGAACAGCGAGTTTGATTGCTAGTCGGATTGAAGCACTTCTGCAATGACGCGGTATGAGGAGCTGAGAGAGAGCGTCTGTGCCAGCCGGCAAGAGCTAGCTTTCAGCCGTACGAAATTGTTGAATTCAGTGAAAGCATTTGAGCCCTAGTTAAATCTCACACTTTCGCCATCTCCGCTCATTGGGATATACACCATGTTGACCCGGACCGACTGTTGCGACAGGCGTCGGCATATTGGCTACACGATACCGGAGGAGGAGGAGATAGTTTTCCCGTTACCTTTCAGTCGTAGCATACCTCTGTATCATACACGCATATGCAGAGTGCTGTGAGACACACATATATACTGTTCATCGTCTTGTACTTAGCTCTTACATGATATTGCTGAAGAAAACGATCCGATGAGATACAAGGGCGAAGTAAATCGGGATAGCAGGAGATCAATCAGATCAAGTAAAATAGATCTGGTGATGAACCAGATAAAGATGATCTGATCATAGATTGTCAGGGGCCAATACTGCAAGAATCAGGGACAACAGAGTACCACTCATTGTCATAGCTGGTCATGAGGTAGGATACTTCCACTCTTGGGATGTACCGGGACTTTGTATATAGATCAGACAGGGAGCTTGAGGCACCTACCACACATTCCTTTAGTCAATTTAGTATATGTTTCTGCCTTAAAAGAGTGATGACATTGTACTAAGACTATCCCCAATCACCAGTATTGGGACCCAAAATGGTGTCAAAGAGTCATATTCTTCAACAGGTTATGAGCCCAACAAGCTGATATGATAATAACATGTCAAAAGTAGACTACTCTATGTATGGCTCTTTTGTTGCCCCTATGTGGGACCTACTACCACAGTTACCTCAGATGGTCCAAGACCATTTCAACCAAGTTATGGAGGATGAAATCTATGGTACACCCAAGGCCCCTAAGGACAGCAAATTACTAAAGTTCACTATCAACGAAGATGAAGAGCAAATGATTACACCTCTGTCTATCCTTGTCAAATGTATTAGCAGACTATACAAAGCCATGCACAGTCTGGGCCCATTTGCCAATCGAATTGAGCTAGGCAGGCAAATGCGAACCAGAGCAAACCTGTTTGTTGCCAACAAACAATGGGATGCATCTCACATCCTCAACATTAAGATTGAAGGCCCAATGAACCCTGGCCATAATGATGAACAGAGCTACCTGACCAAGGTAGAAACGTCCATCTCTGCCAGAGGTGATACCCCCACCTTCGACCAAGTCGAGTTCAACCACTGCCTAGTTGGTTGTGATGCCACACCAGGACCCACCCCTGAACTCAACATGCTCACTAACCATCACCTAAAGGTACTTTCTGGTCTGAATGATAAGATGAGATGGGATGAACAAGACCTCCTTGACCCTAGAACAGTCTCAGTACATGCATGGCAATGCAAGATGCTGGTGATGCTGTCAGTTGTCCCTTTCGCATGAAACATTCTTGATCAAAAAATGACAACCTTTGAGGATGCAGACTCCATGCTTAGCTCCATCATTATGTGTAGCTCCTCACCCAAACTGTGCACCGAGTACTTCACAGAGCATGGCGATTGACTGGTGCCAATTGTCATGGGCCTGAATGCTCAAGAAGCAGGAGGGTCACAGGTTCATATGGAAGGAGCACAGGTATTGGAGATCTAGTCGATACCAGTGGAGAGCATGGTCATAGTGCAGTCTCCATGGAGACCATGGACTTCCATGGACTCACATGCAAAGGAGGACCAGGCCCATATGCAAGGAGGGCCAGGCACAGCCACAAAGAGGACCAAGCTCAAGGAGCATGCAGATGGTTACCATGCAGGGGCTCAAGAGACAAGAGTCAAAGGAACCATCACTGGTCAAAGGAGAAGGAGCAGTGTATAGGAGACCAGCAAGCAGGTCCTGAGGAGGAGGAGCAGTGTCGAAGGAGTCGACACAGCTCAGGAGGCACAGGGGTGTCAAGCAAGCAGGATAGCAAGGAGGAGGAGCAGTGTCAAAGGAGTTGATAGCTCAAGGAGGACAGGAGTGGTGCTAGAGGGGCCCCCTGTACAAGTACTTGATGAAGAAGGTACTCTCTGGAGAGAGAGCAGGAGCAGCGTCACTGGCGATGCTGTGAAGAGGTATATAACCATACTTTCTCATCATCAAAGGTCAAGTGGATCCTCATCCACTCTACACACACCATAACTAATTATCACTTCAGCATAAGTATACATTAGTTTCAGTCAGCATAGTAGTAATCTATCAAGATTGCTCCTCATTGTAGTGCATGTGTTGTATCACCACTACCTGACATCCAAAGGCAGTTCATAGCAAACCAGTGGTCTGGATTAAGATAGAACTGAAGGCAGTAGTCCACTGTGGTCTGGGGATCACTTCAAGCATCAGTCAACACACTGGACACTCGTGTTGATGCCACCAACCTTATCACCAACATCATCCACCTCATCATCATCAACACTCACCAACCTTATCACCAACATCATCCACCTCATCATCATCAACACTCACCAACCTTATCACCAACACCATCAACCTCATCATCATCAACACTCACACCAAACCTTGGTGTCATCATAACCTACATATTGATATTGTTCATGCCAAGCTACCCCTGAATGGAGTGTCCACAGAGGTCAGCCGAAACCTATGATAGTATATACAATGAACACCACCTGCTGTCATCACACAACTTGATAGTCACCAAGCAACGTAGCTCATCGAGACCAATACCGAGACAATAGCTGTTGCACAGTTTGATAGTCACCAAGTATCTCGACAGACCGACCTGGGTTTCAGGCGCGAGACCCCTGACACCAATCACTGTAGATCTATTCGACTGGGCAGTAAACAAGTGCACTGCACACTCAGCCACCAAGGAGTACAAACTCCTCGCCACCACCTATGCCCTGTGCTGGGACCAGGTTGGCAGCCATGCATATGACTTCCTTACCACATGGGAAGCCCACATATCAGAACTGCATGCCTACTTGCAGGACCCCTGGGCACCAGACCATCACTATAGAACCCTCAAGCATGCACTACCCTCAGACAGAAATGCATTGTTTAACTCAGTGTTCATACTGCATGAAAGACTGAATGGAAAGAAACAGTTGGCAGAAGGTGTCACTGACATCCTATGCCAATGCTATGAGCTTGCAGCCAAAAGTGCTCCTGTGCTCTTGCCACCTAGATCAGAGGTGTCAGAGCTCACTGCATTACGAGCGGCCACGTTGATCAATTGCTGGGCTTGTGGCGAGCTAGGCCACACTGCCAACTGATGCCCAGATGATGCAGCACATGCAAAATGGAAACAAAAAAGGATCAAGGCAGACCCTAGAGGTAGTGCAAATGCATGCATTGTGTTACCATTTGAAGGAGATTGGGATGCCTAGGATCTGGTGCCAGGCTTGGCATTCTTTACAGAAGTCAGACCAGCACCCATTAACATACTGCCCAGGCTTGTACCTTTCATGTTTGACTCAGGGGCATCCTGCATCATGGTCAACTCTCCCCAATATGGAAAGGGCTGGCAGGATGTACAGAGTGAAGTGAGCATAACCACTACCAATGGGGGAAAACTACTAGCTACCAAGGTAGGTGGTACAGTAAGCCTCCTGAACTTTAGCTCTAAGAAATGCCAATGGGAATGTATGACATACCATGACTGTCTACTTGTCCCTGACCTCGTGACCAACCTTATCAGCATGAAGTTGGTAACGTGTGCAAAAGGAAAAGTGATCTTCGAGGAAGAGCTCATCACTGTCCAAGACAAGCATGGTCTTGCGATCTGCATGCATATGAGTGGAGATGGATACCCCACCACTGCCATGGTGATATGGGACAATGGGATGCCTAAACCAGCTATCACACTTGCCTTTACAGCCACGACAATGAACGTGACACAACCACACAGGTGTCATAACAAAGCGGTCCTTTGGCATCGACAGCTAGGCCATGCTAGCCATGAATCAACTCAACAGACATGAGCGGTAATGCTCTCTCATGACATCCCCTCAACACCAGCCACAGATCCTGGCGTGCTCTGTGACATTTGTGTATGTAGCAAAGCAATCACTAAGACCATTGCTCATCCCAGAAACATTGAGAAACCACTTGAACTGGTTTCGATGGATGTGATGGGCCCACTGCATGGCAATAACAAATTTATGTATGTGCTTATCATACATGATGCCTACTCTGGAATGATGTGGGCATGAGGCCTAACCAACAAAGGCGAAGCTTCTATGGAAGCAGCATGGTGGTTCTCCGAGATGAAGGTTGCCATGCATTGTGAACCTTCTGAGGTCGTTCTAGACCATGGGATTAGGGAGATCCATGTTGACCAAGGAGAGCTATGGTCGACTGCCTTCAGGAACCTTTGCTCATCCATGGGAGTGAAGGTAACCGCTTCACTGATGCAGCATCACACCAATAACACCTTCGTGGAATGTGCAATCCAAACCATTCAGAAGATCTCATGAAGCCTTCTCTTCGACACAGGGATGAGCGAATGCTGGTGGCCACATGCAATTGCACAAGCAACATTCCTTCACAATCATCTTGCAGGTAATACATGCCGAAACCTAACTCTGTTTGAGCTTTTCTTTGGCAAATGTCCCGAGTTATGACAAATCCGACATTTTGGCTGTGTGGCATATGTCGTCCTCAGAGGGAGCACCCACTCCACATGGCTATGTGACCACCCAGTGGTCAGTAAACACCTCCATCCACATGCCCTCTGAGGAACATACCTGGGCTTCTCTGATGCCCCCCATGCAGTCAAGGGCCACAAGGTTTGGCTCCCTGAGCTCAATCACATTGTGGTTACCAGAGATGTTCGTTTCTTGGAGTTTGAACAGCCAGGCACTAACATTGATCCTTCCTACCCACCAGTGATCACTGGTAACAGCAAGCTTCTCCAATCTTACATGTGGCTACCCCATGACGATGTCACCAATGAGATGGATCTGGATGATACAGTCCCACCTTCCTTGCATCCATACTCACACCAGTGTGATGCAGGGACACACTCGTTGCCTTCGGATGTCTTGAGCTTCGACCAGGTCTGGGACAGGATGATGATGGAGATCGAAGAGGCAGGTGAGGTCATTGTGGACCTGGATGCTATTGCTGCTGACCTGGACGCAGAGCTCAACGCAACAGTGGCCAGGGGAGGAAGCACCATCCAGGACCCCAACACTATGATGTCCATACCACTGCTCGAGACCCCTTGCAGCGATGCCATGGACGATGTGTATGACAATGTCTCCATACTCAACTCCGTACTCGAACCCGATGCTGATCATGCAGAGTTGTCCAACCCACTGGCCTCTCCTGGCTACACAGCATTTGCTGCGGCATGCTCAAACACACAAGGGCCCATGGTCAGCGACAACCACCTTGACTGAATAGCATTTGCAGCCACAGTAGTGAATGGCACAGCTCTTGTGGCAAGCGGTCAGCAGATACAGAGTGCTGACAGCATCCTGCTGGAACTCTTGTCACTCAGCAAAGCTAAGACTCATGATGATTGGGATAAATGGCAGGAGGCAATGGCAAGTGAGATGGATAGCATGGATAAAATGAACATGTTTGAGCTAACAGACATACCCAAGGATGGGAAACTCATTGGAGTTTGCTGGGTCTACAAGCTCAAGCTTGATGCACAACAAAGGGCAACATGGTACAAGGCATGCCTCGTTGCACAGGGATATGCCCAATGCCAAGGTCTGGATTATGACCAGACCTTCAGCCCAGTTGTGTGCTTGCAGACAGTTAGGATACTGCTCACTATTGCACATCGATATGGATTGCATGCGATACAACTAGATGTAAGCACTGCCTTCCTAAATGGCAAGATTGACAAAGACATGCATGTACAAATACCACCAACATTTGAGACACTGGCAACAGAAGGCAAGTGCTACAGGTTGAAGAAAGTGCTCTACAGCCTCAAGCAGGCTGGACGCCTGTGGCACATGGCACTTGACAAACAATTGCAAGTGTTCGGGTTCAGACAGTGTTGAGCAGAACCATGCATGTATACATGCAGTTCCAACAATGCCATGATACTCCTTGCAGTCTATGTGGACAACCTACTTGTCATTGGCACAACCGCCCCACAAGTCCAGTCCATATGACAGCAACTGTTGAGCATGTTCAGCATCACTGACCAAGGCAAAGTTTCTCACATCATAGGGTTGAATGTACACTACGATCACGAAGCACAGACACTCACAATTGACCAGAGTGGGTACATCGAAGGGGTCATAGCAAAGTTCGGGTTGGACGAGGCTTGGACGGCATCAACACCAGCAACTGAAGGCATCAAAGCAACTGAAGGCATCAACACGCTTAGGCCGCAAGAGGAATACATAGCCAATGCCAAAGAAGTTCGACATTATGCCTCACTAGTGGGGTCACTCCTGTGGATCGCTCAGGGAAGCTGGCCA